TAAGCTTTAATTATATATATATATATATATATATATATATATATATATATATGTATATATCTGTATGTGTATGTACTGGTATGAGCTGTCAGCTGTATTCATTGTTAAGAGTAAAAGAACCTGAAAGAGGCTAAATTCAGCAGGGAGTCCCCGCTATGGGCTAATTAGTTACTATGACAGTCATGTCAATAGAATCAAAGACCATACATTCATTCATTCTTGGGTGAGCCATGCATTCACAGCAGCTCAGTCCTTTCATTATTATTAACCACCTGTGACTCGTTATGTCTCAGCACACTGGGGGCAGGGGGTGAAGAAGCCGTCCACCATGACACACAGAGGTGACAACGTTTGAAAAATGCACCTAGTTTAGGTATTTACTTCAGTGTGCTCTCAATCAAAATGTGGGAATTTGCCAAATCCTTTGATATAAAATGTATATTCAATGTATATGCATTTCATTCTATAACTACAACGCTATGTATTATAATTATATATTGATTTCAGCTTTAATATTTAGTTACACACACATGTATAAATATACACACAACATATTATAATACCATACCCATTTGGTAAAACATTAATTTATGTTGGCTTCTATAGGAAAAAGTGAAAAATTGACACCAGAGTCCCATTTCAGTATCATTTAATCTTCCACAAATCACACATTAAATGTAGCATTCCACAGACTGTGTTTAGACATCTTAAGGATTCTCAAATCTGCTTTATACATAGAAATTATACTTGACACTGTACATTTATTATTTAAATGTGATAAACTAGGCACATTCTAAAAGAAGAGGGAAAAATGAATTTGGGGATTATATGTTTCCATTTGTTTCAGTTCACAGTCTCTAAAATTGAGACATAAAGAAAAAAAAAAGTACAGTACAAAAAAAAACATTTGAGCATACTGTAAATAGGAAAACAGCTGTTCTATTTTACAATACAGACTATTGCCAACAAGCCCCAATCAAACTTTGATAGTGTGGAGTCTTTTAGTCAAACATCAGTCATATATAAAGATGGAATGTATTGATTTCAGTCCTACTGACTCCCCTCTTCAGCACTCAACTTAATCAAAACAAATCCTTAGTCAAAGCATGTGTATGTGTAGTGTCTCCACTGATGTCATCATATGCAGTTGTGGAGTATGGGGATATACGTTTGGTCCCCTATTTGATAGATACAAGTTAGGTTTCAAATTGAGGTTATACAGAAGGACATATTGTTTTAATTGATAAAACCATTTTTTAAAACACATGGGGCACTCCATTTTAGTATAGAGGACAGTAAAGACCTACACCCTGTAAGACTATTATACATACATACAAGAATTCCAGTTATGAATTTATGATTTATTAGATCAAGGTAAACACTGTGCATTTATTAGGAGCAGTGAAACAGTTTGGCTGAAACAACTTTTTAAGGTTTCTATTTGTGCTGCTCTTTATATAAATCAACAGCGTAGACCCGCCCAGCTCATTTTATAAAGTAGCAAAAAAGGTGCAAATCAAGCATGTGTAAGCTGGCTATCTGTGTCATCACTAGCAACACGTAAAACACAGGTTTTCTCTTTCTTGTTCGTCACTATAAAAACAAATGTGGAGCGTATTTTCAGACCAGGGAACAAGAACTAGGTAAATACAGCTAGAGAAAGAGTAAAACAAAGAGGAGTGTGAATCCCATCCCTTCAATTTCCAAACATTTAATTTAACATACACATGTTATGTACATCAAGGCCAATGTAAGGCAATGCTCTTTTTTCCTAAAAACACCTTCAGGGTCCCACAATTCTGCAATCATTCTGCTGTGTATAAAAATGGAAAAACATCCATTAAATATTCATGAATCTATATTTTACTGATTTAAAGAATAAAAGCTAAAATGATTTAGCAGACCAAAACCCATCAATATTCACTATGTTATGGATTTACAATACCAACTGACCTTTACTTTGTTGCTTAAAGTTTGTTCAACTTGACAAACTGGATAAAGCTAAAAATGTTTTTTCTTAAACTGACCACACAGTATTATTGGTAACAATGTAAAAGCAGCAGAAATGTATAACATCTTTGCAATATTCTATTATAGTATAATTTTTTCTGTGGAATTTGAGAAAAATTGGACATTTCAAAGAACTGAAATATAGATTTAAAAAAAAATTTAAAAGAGAGCTAAGGGGATAAAAAAAATAAAATGAAGACAAACATTTCTCTCTACTTGCACATCCTGGTTAGGAAATGATTCAAAGCTGGGGGAAAGGACAACAGAGAGTCTTCAAACTGCACTAACCTTACTTAAAACCTTACATAGAGAACCCAGAAGATCCACTTTAAGTGTGAGCACACAATTCTTTCTGTTTAGCAACACAGGCTTCATCTAATCGAGTCACACTCTTGCTTTTACAGCTTATAGATTACTGAGACATTTAAGTGGCCCATTCATTCATATTCATATTGTGCAACACTAGTGGTTAGGTCAAGTTATGAATTACAACATGCATTAAAAAGGAGGTCTAAAGGACAAATATAGGCATACTAAAGTGAATGTGTGTATAAAAGTGGGCTGATGCTCTGATGCTGAATTTTGGTACAAACTGATTGATGTTCTGCATGTGCTTTGACACCAACAAGTAGACCTCCTCTGGTTACTGGGTAAAAGATTCTGTTACAAGTCTAGCTAACCACAAATGTGCAACTATTTTAAAGTACAGTGTGATAATAGTTGCCTGATGACACAAAGACCCTTTTTAGGTAAAACTAAGTAATCTCGTTGCAGCCATCAGACCTCCACTCTATCCCTACCAATGAGCTGAGCGGTGTCGTCATCTGTGTGCTGCCCGTCCTCTCCCGCGTCGTCACTTTCTGAGTCTGTTTCCTCCAGGGGGGAGTGGTAGCCTTCATAGCCCAGGATGGGTGAATCGCAGTGAGCGGGCGAGGTGAGGCACTGGGCAGTAGTGGTGGTGGTGGCTGAGTAGGCCACTGGGCTCCCTGAGGGGGAGGGCCGAAGCAGAGGGGTGCGCTCCGAGTCTGCTTCACCCTCTGTCCCTTCTTCCTCCCCACGTCTTCCGGTTTCCTCCTCAGACTCGGACTCGGAGTGCTCTTGGTTGTTCCGAGTGACGCGCTGTTTGCACACAGGACACGTCTTCTTGGTCTGTGTGAGCCACGGGTCTACGCACTTGCAGTGGTAGGCTGCAAAGCAGAAAGAAGACTTTGAGACTTCTTGGTTGTAGTGTAGAGTGAATGAACAAATACTCAAACTAACAGACATATCATATACCATGATATTCACTGCAGACCGCACAAGTTTGTTCCATTAGCTAATAAAAAACTGTTTCAGATAGGGTAAAGGAGTGTGTGGGGTTTAGGGGGATCTATTGGCAGAAACTGAATATAATACTCAGAATTGAATCATGTTTTCGTTAACTCAAGCACTTCATATCTACAGAGGGAGCGTGTCCACAGACATCTTCTTCTACGGCAGCCCAGAGTGGACAAACCAAACACTGGCTTTAGATAGGCCCACTGGTGCCAAGCTTGGGGTTAGGGTTATACAGGTGTGGTTAGGTTAGGCTAAACTACAGGGTGCAGTTTTAACAGATGGGGTTACACGTCAAGTTTACTGTAGACTGTAGGGTTACAAATACTGACTTGCAAGAAAGGGTTTATAATTCATGTACTTGGTGCGGTAGACATATACATTCTGTGGATTATTGGGGGTATTTTTTCCAATGTACCAGAACATACAAAAATAAAGAACAACAAATAAAATATTTACCATGGGAACAAGGTAAAACACGCAGCTTGTCTCCCTCTTCATACTCATCCAGACAGATGGCACACACATCATAGTCATCCCCTGAGACGTAAGAGAAAGGATATCAACTTAAATGATTCAAAATATCAGTTTAAATGCTTAAACTATTTTCTGGGCTACAAATGAGTGACACTTCAGCTTAAGGACCTGTTCTATGAGCAAAAAGCTCCACAGATGGTAGAAGAAACTTTAAAGACTTTAAATTCACATTCAAGGAAAATCTGATCATTGCAATTGATTCTTAATGTTCTTAAAAGAAAAGTATTAGTAGTAAAAACGATATAATCTTTTTACCTTTACGGAACCGGTGGGTTGGAATCCGCTTCAGTTGGTCTTTAGACAAACGATTTTTCCTCAGCCTCTTTCTGTACTGTACACACCGTATAATCTGAACAATACAAAAAGACAATGTCACTGATGGCATGACAATTACTCTGAAACTCAACATGTACGGATAGGTTTCTTTTTTATGTTCATGTAGGACCCTGCCACTCATAGTAAGTATGTAAGAGGCTATGTAAGACACCTTAACCCTAATAAAAAGATAAGTCTACTGAATAAATAGAAACATCTCAAGAGGAACATTATCTGCCCTTGCTTTGCTGAAATACTATTAGGTGAACAATACAAAGAGGCATATTCAGGGCTTGCCTCTGCTACCCATGGTCCAAAGTCTATCATTGGAATCTGGATGACAGAATAAATACATTATATCCTTTTCAATTCTAACAATTGCAAACTTCAAAAAGATATAACGTGCTACACACTGAACACCCAAGGAGGTATTGCATCATATGCATACTTACCAAGACGACACACATGACAAGAATGATCATGCCAACTACTCCAGTGAAGGGAATAAGGTAGTACGAGAGTGGGAAAGAAAACTCCGGCTTGAGGATCACGTAGGCCCTGATGGCCAAGAAGAGAAACAATGCATCAGATAACCATAAGCACTAACACTGAAAAAGTCTGCATGTATTGGTCTCTGCTAATCTAAAGTCAACTCTTAACGGTTGTTTGGTCTAGTTCAGTGTATCTCAAACTTTCTATACTGCATACCACCTCTGAAAATATTAGGCTCTCCTAGTAGGGCTGACGTTAAAACACATGTAGGCCGACTCTATTCAGCTACAGACAGTTCACTCAGGAAGCAGGTTTATTCCCAATAAGATTATTTATCGTTGACTGTTGTTGAATCCTGAACTGTACTGAAATACAACTCAGACTCCTGGTCCACATTTTAGAACAAAAAAGTGTTTTTGAACCATTCATTTTACCTCTGCTTATTATTTGCCATCACACTTGCTAATAATGGATGTAAGCATGTGCTATGTTCATGAACATGAGTACATAGCAGGCTGATATTGAAACAAAATATTACAGGAAATACAACACTTGTGATCCTATATTTTGATTTCAGTATAGTTGAACCAGTGGTTGAGATTGTTTAGATTGAAAAAGTACTGAATATATTTATTTCTACAAAAATTCTAATGTTTACTTACCCTTGTTCTGGAATGATGAACTGCCTGAGAATTTGGGAGGCGTAGTAGCTGGTGAATACAGAGGGGATCTCAATCTCCTCTGCAATCGTGTCTGAAAAATTAAAAACGAGCAGGATTAAAATTTTAGGCATTTTAGGAAGATGGCGTGAATGTATAAATTTTGATATTGTGTACATTTTATAAAGGAGAATTACCGTTGCTGTAGTTCATGTTGAGTAGAGTGTCTGAATACATGTTGTGAACGATAGCAGCACTGTATCCAGCCTGCTGTGCGTGCAATACCTGAAAAGTTTCCTCACATTAGACCAGATTGCTTAACAGACACTACTGCATATTCTGTGTCACTCAAACATGACTCACCTTTATGTCAAAATTGCAATCATAGCGTCTGATGAGAGCGATGAATTTGGTGGTGTTGGCATCATAAGATGGTGGCAATGGAGGAGGATGGTCTATTGCTGTACAGCCATTAAGTGGACGGGACACCACCAAAACTCCCTTTTACACAAAGAAAATAAAACATTTTTAGAAAGCACTATGACCTGTGTTGTTCTGTATGCACATCATTCTCAAATACTCTGCTCTCACCGTCAGTCCATCCTTCGGAAGTGGGTCGCCAAACAAGGCGGGAAGGTCCTCAAACAACATGGAGGTCATATTGCTATAATGCTGCCAAAACAATATATACGTAAGAACTGACATAATCTCAGGAGAATTTGAGGAATCATATTTATAGTTAAAGTCTTACTTACAGCATAAATATAGGCATGTGTAGGTGAGGGAACCAGCACGCTGGAAAAAAACACTATGAGGACACTCCATCGAGCTCCCACCCTCCACACACCAAGGTGAACCATCCTTGGTCGCATACAGTTGCACTTAACTGTGAAAAAGATAAGACAGTAGCACATCACAATGAAGAGTGATTAGTCAGCCAAGGATTCAGGCTGAGGCTGATCTTGCAGTTTGATTACAGCATGGCATTCACATACTAATGCAAATAGGCAATTCAGGTCGTAAACTATTTAAATATTCACATGAATATGCAAACAAGGAACTCTGAACTATGAATAACATTTACTCTTATTGTCGTGGAGTAGCACAGCAAACCTAAAGGTTAAAGGAACTGATTGTTATTCTGTTACTTTGTGACAATACAAATGTCCTTAACATCAAATCTTTAACCAATCACTTCTTTAACTAATTTAGTTTTTTCTTTTTCTTACTTGTTGTTTTTTGTGTTGTTACCAATATTTCTGCCTTAATATTATTATATTGTTGAGTTTACAAAATTAAGTAGCCGCCAGTATACAAATGTATGTCTGCAGCAAAGTCTTAAGTTCTGTTTTATTCTACTGACTTTGTTTCATTTTCTGCTAAGCATAACGGTTGTCCCATTCTTTTTCATTATTTCTCCCAGTTTATGCACACACAAAAAAACTTTCAAATGCACAATATTAATGAGCCTTGCTCCAGTACTACTACGAGGTAACTTAACAATGCAGTTATTCTGTAATTTAGCAAAGGTTTTTACTACAACCCTGTTTGTTAACAAATCCAGGCAAAGTAACAGTGGGTAATTAAAATCAGCTATAATTCAGTTCAGTAATTCCTTCCACAATACTCTACTCACATGTAAGAGATTTCAGCAGATCCAGGGGTAAGGGGTGGAACAGATCCAGATATTATTACACATCTGAATGCTCAACAACTAAAGGGGCAGTCTCACTATTGCAAAGCATGATCACCATACATTAAAATTACATCTGAAGGCTCTATGTTACTATAAATAGAGTCCAGAATCCCCTTGACCCCAGATCTGGTTAACACTGCTGTTTTTGTGTGCACGTAACTAACTTATTTATGTAGAGATAATCAGGTTTAAGAAGCAAACTGCATTAGGATAAGGTAAAATAAGCACAATGCTCTGGTTATTTGTGCCAGTAGACGAGACGTTAACACCACCATTAAAGGCGTACACGTGCCCTGGGGACTATATAGGTGACTTTATGACACAAGTTAGCAATTAACCACATGTAGGGTTTGTTGGCACACGGCTGGTCTTTTGAAGGTCACAGAAAAAATAATGTAACATCAAAATGTTTGCTTTCTGGATCTACCCTCATCTTCCATGTTTAAACATGTGAGTCTTCTTTGTTGAGGGTAACATTTCAGTTTCATAGGACTGAAAATAAAATAAAAAGTTGTCTGTGGACTAAAAGTATTATAGAGGTATTGGAAATGTGTTACTTCTAGATGATAGACATAGAAATCAGCTACATTTTGGTATAAGATTTGAAAGCCTGCCATGAGGTAGCTGATTCATTTAAAAACAATATTGAGCGGGTTAGGCTTGAACACTGATTTGGGGAAGGTGGTAAAACGTGTGTGTGTGTGTGTGTGACATTCTGACACACACACACACACAGCTAAAGTTATATGCAACTCCTCATATGGGTTTAAATGGTCAATAGCAAATATAATTGTTTAAAAATGTTTAAATGTTTCAAATTTGTGTAATTGTTCGGTGCTTTGTATTTATTTGTTTTGCCTCTCACTTCTTTACTAAAATACGAAAATTATCTATAAATAAAGTGTTTTAAAAAAATGTTTAAATGTTCACAATTTTAGGAAACATCTGTGTACATAAAAAAAAAACCGTATTTCTTTATAGCTGTGACCTTATTCCTTCAGTAGAAACACTAATAACACAACATAAACGATGCTAGAGGAGTGAGAGAGAGTGAACAGTGAGCGGACCACTGGCTGCTCACATAGAAACATGCTGAAATCTTTTGTTGTTGTAGCTGCCCACAGAAAGTGCTGCAGTTGTTCCTCCTGTCGCAATGTTAAACCTGTTAAATATGTAAAGCTAACTAATGCGGCTTCCTCACCACGGAAATATTCAGCCAGGTTAATGTTACTCCTATTCCGGGCAGGCGATTAATTAAGTTAGGTGCGTTAAATACTCTGACCCGCTGGACTCTATTAGCGGTCAACTACATTTGTTACAACCACGGTTATTGTTTAGATCTCAGGCGGAAGACTAATAAATAAAATAAGGTATCAGAAAGTAATCGGGGCCATGTTATAAGTTAGCTTCATAAGTTACCTTAGTATCCTGCTAATATCGGCACGGTGAATATTGTATCAATCTAACGGTATTCAGTTGTCTCACTTCTGTTTCTTAGATGTCATCGTGCAAAAACGATAAAGTTCACTATACATCGTTCTTCTGCAATCTTTACTTCCCCAAGAAAACGATAAAACAAGAGGGATTAACGTTAGCTGAGGGTGGGCTAGTGTTAGCAGAGCTTACATACCAGTTAACGTTAAATCGTCTCCGTGACAGATTGTTATATGTCTTCTTTGTAGTCCGTGCACATCGTATCACACACTGCTATTAGTATATAAAACAAGTATGTCTCTGCGCACAGGAGCAGACACTTCGCCTGTATGTGTTCGGTTTCCTAAAGTTACGTTAGCTTGCTGCTACGTTTGTTTGTTATTGCTTCTTGCTCTCTGGCTCTTCTTCCTGTTGTGATAGCAGATTGACTCACTGGCGCCACACAGACCCACAGCGCCGCCAGCGGCCAGAAGGACAAACAGCAACGGACACGGTGTCCTACAGGCCTCAATGTACGCCACAGAGACACTATGCACACTCTTGGCTTTCCATGGCTCATGGGCGACCATCTGTGGTTTAAATTAATCTGAAATGACGAATGAGAACCTAATAGATACATGAAAGGAATAGTATGTTATTATGTAGAGTGATAGATTAAGTATGTCTGAAGAAGATAGTTCACATGCTAAGGATTTAGGCTGCATTTTATAAAAACAAAAGCAGACAGACCGGTTTCACTGCATTCAAACGAACAGATCCCACAGATCCCAATCAGCCACTCCCAGGTTTACAGGCCAGCATCCACAGGTTACATGAATTAATTTCTTGTTTCTCTGGCACGCCAGTTGCAAGAGATTGACCACCTTCTGGAAATCTCCTGGGGAGAATGAAATTAATTTTAAATCTTTCAGATTTTAGGGAGACTGTAGAATAGCTGCAGCTAATAATTTACCATCCATCAGAGGGCAACATGTCTGTCAATCAGGCCAAAACTTCATCAACAGTGCCCTCAAGTGGTAGGATAACTGTACTGTCACATACAGTGTCACGACTATGTCTATCTGAGTTCAACAAATTAACGCAGTACTGCAGTACAAGAAACTTTGGGAGCTGAGCTGTGTAATGGCAGTATCGCTGATACGGGCTGAGATGCAAACACAAGTGTACATACGGTATACACAATATATCATGCAGTACATGCAGTACGGTAACTGCCGTACATCTTATCTTCTATAACATCAGTTAGATAATGGCCCTATTTAACAGCAGTATTGTCAGGCTAGTCAACAGATTATGAAACTCATCTTCAGGTCAGTTGGGCCAATCTACAACCTGCATTAGGAAGGAAAAGAAAAATAGAGAGTCACAAATAGGCCGCAGCCAGATGAGCTTTTGGAAGAAAATTTAAAGCTGTGTCGTACATTTCTGGATGTATAACGTTATTCCCTGTTTTCAGAATGTTGCCATGTGAGATGAGGGGGATGAAGGGCAATAACATTTATAAACAAATAAAAGAGGAGGAGGCTGACAGGATCCTGTTATTTCCTGTGAGGCTACCACACACTGATCTCTTTTGTAATGGGAGTCAGGTGGCCTGTGGAGTAATCCCTCTACTGCCAATGTCAAAACCTAACCCTCACTGCAAGGCGTCTGTGATGCCCGCTGCTGTAGTTATATTTTTATGAGATACACGATGAGTCAGTGACCTATCCTTTAAATGTTCTCAGCACGGTCTTACGTTTTTTAAAGAAGATATTAGCCCTTTTATTCCATTTCAGAGTCAATTTGAAATGTGCATGCATCTTTAGCCTTTCTATCAAGACCAAAAAATGCTTTTCAGAGGGAGTTGACTAACTACATGTTTGCTGTTGATCAGTCTCAGTAAGAAAACACAAAAGTCTCAGTAAGAAAACAAGACTAAATGTTTTAATCCAAGCAATCGTTAGATTGTCAATACATCCCATAATACAAATTGTAGGTCAGCTCATACAACACTGACAAATTTGCTCGTCCTAGCTCGTCCATCAGTGGGGCTGATAATGTAAAGTTTGTCCTCACAGGGAAGCTAGAAAATGATCATGTGGCCTTTAAAATCGAAGGGATTGAAACCACTTGGGGGCATGAATGTGAAAGCAAATTAGTTCATCCCTCACATAGATATGTAGGCGGAGGTGGAGTAAAGGTCAAGAGCTCAGCCTAAAACGGATTCATCTTCTAGGAACCAATAAGAAATTTCATGGAAATAAGGTTGTTAGTTGTGATGATACCTCAACATGGACCAAAGTGTAGATTAGAGGGGAGCTTTGATCAAACTGCTGTTCTATGCTAAAGGTCAGGGGATCCTCTGAGGGCCACAACTAACAGAAGCAAATGTCATGTCAGTCTGGCAAATAACTTTCAACATATCTTTCTCTGTTTTCCAACTGTATGATCAACTGAATATACCGTGGCAACTCTTACAGTAGTGTGTGTCTCTGAGTGTTTTACCACACTTTGCCTACTACATGTGTAGATAGTCTCAAACTATAACCCTGAATGGAGATATAGAAAATGAATGTTCATTAACTGTGCATACATCAAGTTACCATAATTCTTGAGTGGGTATGAGGTCTATTTGTCTATGCATGCTTTATCAAAAGACTAAATAAAGTAATATTCCCCAGGCGCTTCACTGGAAGAACAGTGTCTCTGTTGCAGTAAATAGTACAGTAGAGTGAGGAACAGTGCTCTGTCTGAACAGCCTTATTATCCCTGTATGTGACATATAGCTTTTGGGTGGCAGTAGCTCAGTCCAAAGTCAGCACCAACCACAGCATGTGGACAGGTAGCTGGAGAGGTTCCCATTCCACCTTCTGGGCACTGCCGATGTGCCCTTGGGCAAGGCACTGAACCCCTAACTGCTTGCAGAGAGCCACTGTGTGGCAGCCTGGCTGTCTACCATCTCTCCACATTTGCATGTCTATAAGCCCTGTGTGCGTATGGTTGTATTTCAGGCTTATGTTTGTGGGTGAAAAAAAGAATTGTCCCCATTGAATTATTATAGTTAATCTTCTTCTTTTTTAATCTGTTTTGGCAACATGCTGAATCTTTGGGTAAATGTGGTTAGGAAAAGCACACTATTTTCCAGCTCCCAAATTTCCCAGCAAGGAGCCGCTTAGTTTTATGCGTCATTTGAGAGTCAGACCACTATAACAGTTGCCATAGACTGGCTCCCAAAGCTGGATTTACAGACCCTGACCCACAGGGTCCCACTGTATTATTGTGTAACCATAATAAAATGGTTGGTTAATAATAAAAATAAATGTGACGCCTGGATTTGATATCAAGCAATTAGTTTATCAGCATATAGCAGGATATACTTTGCTGAACAAATCAAAAGCAGGATTAAATCTTATAATGAAGATCTCCACAATGTTATGTGTATTATGATTATGCATTATGTTAATGAATTATGTAAATTTATGTATTCTTGTACATCAAACTAATAGAAATGTAATGTCAATTTATAAAACTCATTAACAAGTATTTTTCTTCCTTCCTTTAAGACTTGTCTGCAATCCTTTTCTAGCCTTCAGCTGCAGCCATCTTTAACAATATGACTCAACACACAGCTCATACAGATGGTTAGGGATGCTTTCATCAAAATCTCTTATTTGCCCTTTTGCAAAGTGTGACGCACAACACTGACATATCCAGGCTATAAGTTATCTCCTTGTTTCCACTAAAGCTGTTCATGTTTCTTTTCTTTGTTTTGTTTTTCTAATGGAGGTAAAAATTGGATAACATCTAAGTTTTAAAGTGTTAAAAGATAACACTTTCCTTCGTGTAGTTGTTTTTACTCATTTGTATTTTCTCATCATGATAAAGTCTGGAATTTCATTACGACTGGTGAATAAAATCCAAAACAAAATCCAAATAGTTTTCTTCACCTCTTTTTACATTTTCAATACATAATCTGAATTTCATTTACAACTTGTAAAATGGAAAATAAGTGGGCAGATTTCAAGGTGAAGGGCCCTTGCATCCTCCCTTATAATAAAAACACATGCAGCTAATTAAATTAGAGCTACTCTGAGGATAATAGATGGAATTTGCCATATAAGTCGAAATCTTTCTGCCCTACAAAATGTTTTGTATGTACAAACAAAATGTATACAATTCTAAAAGGTTTCCAACTGAGTAGAAGATCTATGATTTTGAATAAAAAAATCAAATCATATTCTCA